CCCCAAAACCCCAAAACCCCAAAACCCCATGATTCAAAACATCAGTTATTATCAAATATTGAGAATTGATAATTAAATTAAGCCGCAAATTTTACAAAGATCTAAATCTCATTTAGACTCCACTATTCAAATTTAAACTGTCTTCTAAATATTTTTCATCAAGACTTTCCTATCTAATTCGATCATATTCCATTTGATAAAGCAGAGTGCTGGAACTACACCGAATCCTAGAGTTATAATGGGTATTGTATTAGTTGTTTTTATCAATTTATGATGAACTAATTTATCAAAGAAATAGCAAGTGCCCACATAACTGACGCAAAGGACATATAAAAGAGGATTGATACTACTTCCACTTTATATGCTAAATTCTTTATTCTTCATTGTAATATAATCATTGATGGTTTTGTATTTAATATTCTTTTATTAATTATTTTGATTTTATTCGATTTTATCAATATCATTCGCTGTCAATAAAGCTCTATAATGATCCAGGTGATTAACTGCTAGATAGTCTAATTTTTATTTCACTTGCTAAAATCTCTGATAATCTTAATCATTTTGTATCATTGGGGATCGCGCATTTCTATAATTTTAGTAAACAAGGGGTTATTGCTTAGCAGTAGATTCTTATTTTGTTATATCATTTATTTCTTCCATTGAATTAATATAATTATAGAAATAATTAATAAAATTGTTCTAGTTTAATTAATTTAAGCAAATAAATAAAAATGTTCAACGCATTTCAGAAGAGCAAATAAGAAGAGGAATTTTAATTGATACAGAAGTAGCCTGAAAATAGGCGAAATAATTAATTTTATTCTTAAAGGAATTCTATGATGGCATAGCATTCCATTGAAAGAAGAGAGAAATTTAAGGAGCTAATGGAGTTATAGCAGTAATACTTGAAAGGTATAAACTTTGCAAAATTAATAATTAATTCCAATAATGAACTTCGATGTAGACTCAATGGAGGAATGTCTGGCATCCAAGATTTCCAGGCATTAGTTCAGGGATAGGGATAAACAGAAGGAGATGAGTGATAAGGAGTTTAAGATCAGTAATTTCGAAACTACAGTAGAAAGGATAGAAAGAATTTAAGACGAAAACTAAAAAGCTTTTTTACTTGGCAAATATATTAAGAAAGACTCGGGATTTGATTTAAGAAAGGATGATAAAACAATAACTGATCTCAGAGGCATTTAGTAAGAATAAACTATAATCTTTAAAGTTCATATTTAGGCATCAAGCAAGAAATGAACTTGAGAGAATTAAAGATATAATAAAGTCCAGAAGGAAATTTGATAGGGAAGGTTTTAACTTAGACATTCTAAATTCGACTAACATTTTCAGATAAAATGACCCCGTACCTCAATAAACAATAATAAAAAATAAGAATTACTTTGCTCGAGCAAGTCTATCCCAAGTTGCTGATTCGTTACAGTTGGATATTGATAAAATTGTTTAGAAGCAAGAACCTTATTATTAGCATGATTTTAAGCAAGATCTCTCTCAAAGAATCTCACCAAAGTTATCTCAAAGCTATCAAGTCATCGATTAGCTGAGTGAGACTTAAGCTATAAACAAAAGTATATTATTAAACAAGGCAGCAATAAATATGAAGTACAGCAAATTATTCTTACCCAGAAATACTGCTAATAACACTCCTAGATATGAACCTATAGTCGAAAATACTATGATAATTACAGATACAACTAAATTCTCGAATAGGAATTATGAGAGTTTTGACAAATACTAATAATTGACTCAGCTAGCTTAAGAAAAGATAGTCTATCAGCCAAGTCTAGCATCAAAAGATTCAATAGTAGCAACTAATTCTTCCTTATCACCTAGAGAAAACAGAGATAGTAAATAACAATAATAGAGACCAATTAGAAAAAGTAACCTGAGGAACCATAAACTTTAAAAGAGTGTTCAACTTCCAAAGTCTAAGAATAATTTAATTAGACCTAGTGTCAGATACAATGAATCATCAATGAACTTGAGCGATATTTCAAAAATTAATTCTGGGATGGATGTTTCGAAATTATCAAATCAAGAGGCAAATGCCTATATTAAAATTGAATAGTAAGATGAAAAACCTAAGAAGTCTCCTTCACCTTAGCTGAGCAAGAACTTTTTTGATCATAATAAGTTGTACCTAAAGCCCCTTTAGCACCAAGTAATGCCCAATCCTTCGCCCAGAAGTTCTTTCAGAATTTTAATGCCCTCTAAAATTTGATATAATAATATAAAATCTTAACAACTATTAATATGTCCTCTATTTAGATCGTCTGGGGTTTTGGGGTTTTGGGGTTTTGGGG